AACTGAAATTGAACTGGAAAACATATTGGGCTGCTGAAAAGAATCCAGGATAAAGTGAAAGAGGAAAACCCTGACCAGGATGTTATTTTCCTTCACTGCATCATCCATCAGGAATCTCTGTGTAAGTCTGTATTGCAGCTTAATCGTGTCGTGAATCCAGTTGTAAAACTTGTTAACTTCATACGAGCAAGGGGACTTCAGCATCGTCAGTTTATTAAGTTCCTGGAGGAAACTGATGCGGATCATCAGGACTTACTGAACCACTCTCTCTCTCTGCTGGTTAAGTTTGGGCAAAGTGTTTCAACGAGTGTGGGAGCTGAAAGAGGAGATCAGCGCATTTTTGGAGTTAATGGGGAAATCCGACGAATTTCCTGAGCTAAGCGACAAAAACCGGCTTTGTGATTTTGCATTTGCTGTGGACATATTTTCACACATGAATGAGCTGAATGTGAAACTACAGGGGAAAGATCAGTTTGTGCACGACATGTACAAAAATGTTAGAGCCTTCAAATCCAAGCTAACTTTATTCTCCAGACAAATTGCAAACAAATCTTTCGCTCATTTCCCCACACTTGCCATGCAGAAAGAGGCGACGCGAAACACAAAGAAATACAGCAAATCCCTTGACGACCTGCACGGAGAATTCTGCCATCGGTTTTCTGAAAACATTGAAAACATTGAAAAATCACTTCAGCTGGTGTCCTGTCCCCTGTCAGAAGACCCTGAAACAGCACCACAGGAGCTGCAATTGGAACTGATCAATCTTCAGTCTGACTCCGTCTTAAAGGAGAAGTTCAACTATCTTAAACTGAATGACTTTTATGCTTAACTTAATGAAGCCACGTTTCCAAACCTCCGGAGGACGGCACAGAAGATGCTGACTTTGTTTGGCTCGACCTACGTATGTGAGCAGACATTCAGTGTCATGAACATCAACAAAGCCCCTCACAGATCCAAGTTAACTGACCAACACCTCGGATCTATCCTGAGAATTGCCACGACAAAACTAACTCCAGACTTTAATGCACTGGCAAATAAGGGAAATCAACAACGCTGTTCCCACTGAAACGGAATGTGAGATTCTCTACTGTGTTTATTAAAATGTAATTTAATTAAATGAATGCATTTGGAAATCAATTTGTACAATGAGCCTTGCACATTCATGCTTTGCTACCTGTTAAAGGCCAAATCCTTTCATGTAATGGCTTTTACATGTCATTTATATTAGTTCACACAAACACTCCATCCATCTGTTCCTGGCCCGGCCCCTCTGTCAAAGTTTAGAACCCATTGTGGCCCGCGAGTCAAAAAGTTTGCCCACCCCTGCCATAAATTGATTCTCTAAAATCCTTGAGTAGGACCAGATGTTGAAGAATGCATAATGTTCTATTCCTGTATTTATGGTACTCTTTGTTTGGTTACTTGTAGAAGTGTAAGTGTACAGGATATCTACTTCTTATTCTTCTAATGAATGTCAAGCACTTTAAAGTGTGATACTGCCCCCTTTTTATGTTACAGGCAGGTGTAACATCAGGTGTTTGTATCTTAGGTAGACACCTGTCTTTGTGTCTCAGGTAGATGTGACACCTGTCTTTGTATCTTAGGTAGATGTGACACCTGTGTTTGTGTCTCAGGTAGATGTTACACCTGTCTTTGTGTCTCAGGTAGATGTGACACCTGTCTTTGTGTCTCAGGTAGATGTGACACCTGTCTTTTTGTCTCAGGTAGATGTGACAGCTGTCTTTTTATCTTAGGTAGATGGGACACCTGTGTTTTTATCTTAGGTAGATGTGACACCTGTGTTTGTATCTTAGGTAGATGTTACACCTGTCTTTGTGTCTCAGGTAGATGTTACACCTGTCTTTTTGTCTCAGGTAGATGTGACACCTGTCTTTGTGTCTCAGGTAGATGTGACACATTTCTTTGTGTCTCAGGTAGATGTGACACCTGTCTTTGTGTCTCAGGTAGATGTGACACCTGTCTTTGAGTTTCAGGTAGATGTGACACCTGTCTTTGTGTCTCAGGTAGATGTGACACCTGTCTTTGTGTCTCAGGTAGATGTGACACCTGTCTTTGAGTTTCAGGTGAATGTAAAATGTGTGTTTGTGTGTCAGGCAGGTGAGTCAGAGGGAAGCAGAGGATCTGGCGTCCTGCTTCAGCTGTGTGTTCTTCGAGGTGTCGGCCTGTCTGGACTTCCTGTCTGTGCAGCACGTCTTCTTTGAGGCAGTGAGGAGGGTGAGGAGGGGACGTGGTCGCCTGGTTCCCGCGGTCTGCATCAGCGAGGACAGAGCGCTTCTCCCTCCCTCCTCCTTCTTCACCACCCCCTGCTACAAGGAGCTGCCGGCCCCGACCACCGCCAAACTGGTCACAGTGAGGACTTCCAGAGCTCAGAGCAAACGCAGAGCCACCACGCTCACCCTGCTTAAAGGATTCAAGATCTTCTGACCGATGGGATACAGACTAACTGAGTTGATGACAAACAGATGTGTACTGTACCAGACGCTCTCTAATGATGGACCATCTCAAACGTCTGAATCATTTAAATCTACTGTCTGTAAAACCAGGTCTTAGCTTTAAACACTGCAATACCCAGAAGTCTTTGCCTTTACTGCACAATGACACAAAGTCAGCTGCAGGCACCAATCAGAGACATTGCTAAGACAAACCACCTGCTAAATGCTGTCATACTTTTTTGCCATGGTTTCTGATATTAAGCTTAAAACACCACACTCTCTACCTACAGTACGAATCACAACTAACATGCTAAATAATCTGAAACTCCTCAATTGGATGTTTCTTGCTCTCCTTTCCCATCTAAATTGAACATTCAGAGCCTGGTCTCCTTCACCTCCTTTTATTAATAAAATGTTCCACTGACCGCCCATACAGGCCTTGTGAAATTCATGTAGGACTGGATTTGCATCATTTTTCTATTCGTAGTTGGTTTCTGAATATGAATCTGTTTCACTCTTTTATCCATCCTGTATTAGAAGGGTGTTTCATTTGTTTGAACTTGTCTGCCAAAATTGTACTGTATACAAAGTTAACCCTTTGACTTGCATTGTAACCACGCGGTTGACCTTTTTTCTGCCGCAATATTGCTATTTTTAGAACTCTGAAAACCTATCTTTGGCTGTTTATCCTCATTCACCTCACTGAATGGTGTATGTAACCCTGATTATGTCCAATAGGTGGCGTTGCTGTACATAATTATCATTGTCTGAAAACTGTGGAAAATACCAGGAGTGACTCAGCACAGCTCCTCAGAAATCTCACAGAATAAGAGCAAACATCCGGGTAAAAAACTTTTATAGACCCTCTAACAATCATAATTTAGTTGAAGGAAATAAATTTGACAATAAAATATATATCTACGATTCCTCAGAAAACATGGCTGACTGCTCGGTTGAGTTGCCAGTCTACGCAAACGGCCTGGCTCAAGTCACTAATTTCTTATTTTGTTTACCTTTTCTAACCATTGCTACTCATTCAATTTGTTAAATAAATTATTTTGTGTTATTTTAAAACGTTCTGCTCTCTGTGATGTTTATATATGAAAAAACATTTTGTTGCAGAAATGTAAGAAATCCATTCATGCCCAAAGTAACCCAAACAGGCAACCAGCTGGTTGACCTGCATATCTGCTTTCTGATTGGGTAATCTGAAAAATATAACCTGAAATGTTGTTTAATGAAGAGGCAGGAACACAATTTTACCAACAAATATTTTTTGGAAAATGGATTTCTTACTGTGGAAGTCAAAGGGTTTTTAATGAATGAGAACTAAAAGAGGACTTAAAATAGAAAAATGAGGTGAGTAAAGGAGAATGAGAGAAAAGATAAATTGCATAAAGATGTCATGTTTTCAAACTGGTTTCATTATAAATGAATTAAATGTATAAAACCATTTTATATGTTCTTATCTTTATCACTTTCTTTACCGACTCCATCATTCAACACAATTTTACTCTTCATGGGATGGTACACTGTGATGTGACAGAACAAAAGTGAACTATTTTTAAGTCAAAATAGTACATGTGTACATTTAAAGATAGATTTATAAAAATATAAAAATAGTTTGTGTACTCTCTACTCTGTATTAAAATTTGTGTAATAACAAACTAACAAGCATTAACAGATTTAAAATGAGTTCTACAGCTTGATGAAGTTTAAGGTCATCATTTATGTAGCGTTTGGTTGAGTTTAATGTGCACCAGCTACTGCAGAATTTAAAGGAATACTTTACACTGTGATGAATAAGAATATTGACCGCTGAGACATTGATGACGTGCACAGACATTTTCTCAAGATCATGAAAGTTAAGACTTTATCACTGGAAAACCAGCGTTGTAATGCTGAGATAGCGGGATAAAAGAAGATCTCCAGAAAACAGAAATGTTCTCATTATCACTTGAACATTTTGTATGAATTCTTTCTGTATAAATCATTTGAAACATTGTTGCTGTTGTTGTTGTTGTTGTTGTTGTTGTTGTTGTTGTTGTTGTTGTTGTTGTTGTGTAAAGGTTGCCAAATAGAATATGTTGTGTAAAACGAGTGGGCATAATAAGACAAAGCTTCAGCCCACACCTTTAAATTCCACATTGTAATTGTTTTGCAAATATGTGTTTTTGTCGGGGAGAAATGTTTAATTCGGACCGAAATAAACTACAACTGAACTGAGATATTTGACCCCATGTCCCATCTGTTGCCGTCACTGTTCAAGAGCACTTCGTTCGTCAGTTTTATTATACAGTTCAGAACCATCGTAAAGGAAAACTTTCAAACCTAGAGATATCTTGATCAAGGTAAGTGAGTTTGACACGGTTCCTGGAGAAGGAGTCGACTGTAGCCCAGCTGTGTGAGAGTCCAGGTGATGATAGAAGACAGACAAGGTGGTGTTTGGTTATTGATCTGGAAGGCTGACAGTAAGTGTGTTTTAACAATTTGAATTAAACCAGATAATCCTGCAGATGTGAAAATGAGCTTCAGTCTGAACACAGGTTTAAGCAGGGAAATGTTGATTTATTACTTTGACAAGCACTAACTCTGGACAAAGGATATGATTAGAAGAATAACGGCAAGTAAATCATTTAAAAGAAAAATATATATAAAACAAACAGCAAATCCTTTTAAGTGTCAAACTAATGTATTCTCCACAGTGAATGTGAACCTGAGGTTTTCGTGGACTCACAAAGATGATTCTTTGCAACTTATTAGCATTAGCAGCTAAAATCTGCAGATAAATATTCCAACACATCTATAATCTTAACTCTTTACTCCTCAGCCTTTACTGGCTCATCAGGAACCAGCTTATCGGCTGACACCTCCACATGTTGCTCCCCTTGTTGCTCCACTTGTTGCTCCACATGTTGCTCCACTTGTTGCTCCACTTGTTGCTCCACTTGTTGCTCCACTTGTTGCTCCACTTGTTGCTCCACTTGTTGCTCCTCCTTCTGCTCCTCCTCTGGGTCTGAGTACAGGCAGGAGGTATTTCCGTCCCTCCATGTGACCACTATGCTTCCTGCTTTGAGCTCGCTCAGCTCCCCATTGGACGGTGGGGGTTTGTTCCCCTGCTGCAGCCTGTTAGGTGAAGGAGAGGTTTTACTGCTGCTGTCATCACCGATCGCTGAAATAACCTGGAGCTGTTCCCCCTCACTCATCTGAGCCAGAGCGGCTGCGGCTTTGTACTTTGCAATCTTCTTTCTGTTCCTGCAGGGCAAAAGACAAGAAACTGTATTTTTCAGCCGCCTTTTATATAGGTTCATTTAAAAAAGTGTAGAGGGTCGTATTTACTCAAAATGGACTGCAGCCGCTAATAGCTCCAAAAACTGTGAATCATGTGCTCCCCCAGGTCTTATTTACAAAGAATATAGCATTAATGTGTTTGTCGCAAACATGCCTAAATAGTTGTCCTGCTCCGTGCTATTGTTTTGTATCTGAATGTGGAGAGAAGATACCTTCACCTTTACTCTGCACAGAGCTCTCAAGATGACAAAGCTCAATTCAGTCCACACAAAAAAATGATGGGAGGGGAAACGAGGGGCAGTAACCACCAACTCTCGGCAGGCGATACATTTTAAACTGCCGAGAGCTGGTAGTGACTGCCCATAATGCCTCCATTTGCCTAAATTTGCCCAAACGGCACAGTGACGCTGTTTGCTCTGCAACGTAGTCAGTGGTGGACTTAACCCTTTGTTTGTATGTTTTGTGCATTAGATGGCATAATTTGCACAGGTTTAGCAGTTGCAAAAGCAGCGCAATCCTTTTGTGAATCCGACCCTCACTGTTAAAGATCAGGGGCGTACTTGTTGGCCATTGCTCCCATCCCTAGCAGTAGAAAGCCGACAAGCAGGCAGACAAAGGCAACACCCAGCAGCACATACTTCCAGACGGTCGCTGCAACCAAACAAGACAAAGATCTGTTAAACACACAGCTTATACAATAAAACAACAGGACTTTTCTATGATCAGGTTTTTTTAAATACCCATTTGTACCATATTTTTGAGTATCCTGCTTATTGTCAGATTTTCTGTGTATCCTCTGTATTTTCTGGTTATGCTCAGATTTTAAAGTGTCTCACAAGGTATGGAGCATCTTATATGGTTGTATATAAACATCTGATCCTGCTTTTAGAAACGTGAACATGCTGACAGGATCCTGTGTATAGTCTTTCAGCTAGCAGTCGGAGTTACGAGTTAATTTAAATTCTGTTCTTATGTGATTGGCTTTAGTGCTGATGTTTGAAACATTTAAAAGGAATATATATCAATTCACACTTTGAGACAAGCAAATACACATTTAATAAAACTGTTATATAGACCTCAGTGTCTTGATTACCATTCTTTACATTTTAAAAACATTTTCATGTTGGCTGTTGTATTGTGGGCGGAGCTTAAGCAGCAGTACTTACGGTCCTCTGAGCGGTAGAACCAGCGGAGATACTCTCTCTCTTCCTCCGTCATGGCCGCCCTCTCACCTGTCTGATCACCATTTGCCTCAAACTCATCAGGTTCAACAGACGCCCTCTTTGATCCTGAACAACAAACAAACAGAACACAGAGTTCCCAAATAAACTAAAATACATAGATTTTGTTTACCAAGTTCATTGATCATGTTGTACAGTCAAACATTGGATAGTTCCTGCGTAACCAACTTAGGTTTAATAATTTCAACAAAGACAGATGAAGCCAATGCAACTGCAGTTCTTTGAGTGTCCACTTGAGGCTGGCTGCAAAAGCCCTGGAAGTCATCTTAACACCCCATGTTAAAATGGCCCATAATGACATGTTACAGCCTGGTAAATAAAACAAATCTGATATGAACGTCATGTCTTTATCGGCACACACTGTATGGCACGTGATTTAAAAAAAACTAATCTGTATTGAATTTATGAAGGATAAGAGTTATTTATAATTAGGGGCAATCAGGCAGAATGTACCTGTTTGCAGGGAGGCTAAGGCCCCCATCTGTTCTACCTCTTTCTATGTTACTACATTGACAGTTAGGTTAAGACAGCAATTCCAACATGGCGACTGCCGTCACTGGGTATCAAAATTCCCCTTCAGTAACCAATGGGTGACATCACTGAGACTACGTCCATGTTTCATCCAGTCTATGGTGGAGACCAATACAGAGCTCAAAGAGAGACCTCACCGGACACAAACACTCAACGAATTTTGAATGTGCATGAATGGAATATTATTAAATGTAATCCCATCGGTCACAATAGTGACCGTAAAAATCCTTTTCAGTGAAAAGGTGATAAAAGTGTTACTGAATGTTTTTTCAATGCATTTCCAATAAACATTGAAATAAAACCTCTCAATGTCATTTCTGCATTGTCAGATGTGTAGTGTAAATTGCCACGTGACCTGAGCTGTTCACTTCCTGTTTGCAACTTTAGATGATGATGGCTGCATCAAAGTAAATATAAAGATAACAGAAATGTTTTTGGTACACATCATCTTTTAGATGTCTAGTATTGATGTAACTTTGCTTTTTGTGATCACAGAATGAGTAAATGTTTTGACCCAGTGGGATAACACAGTGTATCTAGGTGTGCACATACTCACATAAATATAAGGAGTTCTTGTCCTACCAAACTATGTACTCTGTTCTTTCTTTTAGTTTAACTTTGATTGAAATTCTGAATATGCTGGACCTAGGAGACCATCTAGATAAGGCATTCAATATTGTGATTGTCCCTCATAATGACAAAGATGCTGTCGTCAGTGATTGTGATAGCGATGGGTCTGATATGGACTATGGGGGAGAGACAGGCCATTTACCAGCCAAGCTGTTGAGTGCATGTTCTGAACTGATGCAAAAAGAAAACGAAAGAAACAATGAAGATGACTGCCCCCCCACTACTATCACATCTCTACCCACCATTGATATCAAAGAGTTAGGGATGTCTACCCCTAAGAGGGTCCAGCCAGAAGAGCCAGGGGCCTCTCCCTGCCAGAGGGTGCAGTCAAAAGAGCCACAGGCCAATGTGCAGGTGATGAAAAATAAGGACAGAGTGTTCAAACGATCTAAGAGACCTACCACAGCTGGGATTCCAACACACACAGTATACAGCCCAAATGCTGCAGAATGTGTAAAACAAAATCTCCCCAACCCAATGGATGTTTTCCTACTATTGTTTCCACCCACCCTAAGAGAGCTCACCGTTAAAATGTGGAAGCTCTACTCCACCCAGACCAAGGACAAGCAATTGTATCTGAATATGGATGAGCTCCTTACATTCTAGTGAATCCTGATCACATCCGGTTACAGCTCTGTTTCAAGAAGACACATATTCTGGTCACTTGACAGTGATGTACACAATAAAAATATTTCAGATGCAATGCAAAGAAATCAATTTGATGACATGATGGCCTCAATTCATGTGGTTGACAACACAAAAATCACTGATTACCCATTTTTTAAGGTTAGGCCCATCCCGTTCTTACAAAACCATGCCATTTCAGGAATGGCTGTCAGTAAATAAAAGTATCATCCCATACTATGGCTGCCATGGATGTAAACCATTCATAAAGGGTAAACCAATCCTTTTCGGTTACAAGCTATGGAGCCTTGCCTCATCCAGTGGTTACATGAATCACATGGATCCCACAATCTCCTCCCTGAGACTGGGTTGGCTCAGGGACACAGTGTTGTCCTCAGTCTTGCAGATCAAGCTCAGGTGCCACAAGGACGCAAATTCTTCCATGACAACCTCTTCAACTCACTAAGTCTCCTTGATGAAAGGAGAAAAAGTGGATTTGGGAGCTCTGGAACAATAAGGCAAAATTGTCTGTTTGATGTCCCATTCAAGTCACAGAAGGACTTCAAGAAGTTACCTCGGGGAACCTCTGAGGTTCTGACCCAAGGAGAGAAGATGCTGGTCCGTTGGAAAGACAATAATGTTGTCACAGTGGCAACAAACATGGAAGAGAAATGCAGTGAAACCTCTGTCAAGAGCTAGAACAAAGAGATAAACAAATACAATGAGCACATGGGTGGTGTTGACCTTCACGACCTACAAGTTTCAAGATTCCATGTTTCAATCAGGTCCAAGAAGTGGTGGTGGCCTTTCTTTTTGTGGTCTCTCAACAGTGCACTTGTAAACAGCCATCTCTTTTACAGAGATGTTATTGGAGGACCATCGACCTGCTGACCTTCTCACGAGAATGTTGCAGTCTCTTATGCAAAAGTTCTTCCATTGAGCCATGGAAGGACATCTCTTCTGGCCATAAAGTTAAAGATCAGGCAAGATATGACAAATATTCTCACTGGCCAATCAACACAATGCAGCGGTTCCACAGATGTCGATATTGTGACAAACGCACTACATGTGAAAAATGTAAAGCACCACTGCACATTGAGTGCTTAATGGGCAGTAGAAAAAAAAAACAAGAGTGAAGAAAAAGAGCTGGAAAGTCAAAGAAGAAAAATCAATGGAAAAAGTCAGCATGAGGTGATGTGACAGAGTAAGGAAAAAGTTGACAAAGACAAGCATTGTTTCTAGAAAAGAAGGTCAATTGATGACAGTAGGTTTGATTTATCATTGTTCAAAAGTGTGATCCACATTTGCACTTGGTTCTGAGGCCTAAATATATGTAAAGTTTTAGTTCCGTTTAGGCCTTTAGTTGAATGCAGGCTGCCTCTATCCTGAATGACCTTCATGTTCTATGTGAATGTTGCACTAAAATGTTAATTACAATGTTAAAATGAAAATTGCACTAAAGTAATGTAGCACTAAACAACAAGTTCAATACATGTCACACCTAATAACAATGTTATGATAAAGAAATAAGGTGAGAAAACATGAAAGGTGTCATCATTTGCAGTGTTCATATCAAAGGGTTTTTTTATTTGTAAGAT